CTCAGCGGCTGGACGATGTCGGCGTTGTTGGCCTGCTTCTCAAGGTCGTCGCCGCCGCCACCGTTGCTGATGCTGTCGCTGACGATGGAGTCGCCGCCGTTTGGTTTGCTGTTGCCGTTGTTGTTATTATCTTCGGGGACGGCGGGCAGTTCGGCGACGGCGTGGATGACGGCCGGGGCGAAGTCGATGCAGTCGAAGAACTTGCAGCGGGACCAATTGGTGAAGATGATTAGCATGCTGTTGGGGTCGCCGTAGAGGGGCTGGGTCTTGCAGCGGCCGCGCTGGCGGACGCGGCGCATGAAGGTCATGAGCTGGGACGGGGTGGTCTGGGTCTGGATGTCGTAGCGGAAGCAGCGGGCGACGTAGCCGAGGGGGGTCTTGAGGACCTCCGCCGCGCTGAGGATGGTCCAGGTGCCGAGTGCGAAGTTCTGGACGTAGAGCTTCCCGGGGGTGAAGACGCTCTTGAGGCGGCCGGTGATGTCGACGGCGTTGAGTACGGTGACGGGGCGGTTGGAGCCGCGGGCGGCGCAGACGATGCGGGTCCACCAGGCGGTCAGGACGTCCCCCTCGCTGACGAAGGGGGCCTCGCCGGTGCCCATGCCCTTCTCGTCCATGGCGTGCAAATCGGCCATGGCCTGGGCGCGGAGGCCGGCGACGAAGTCCGCGGGCAGGCAGAGGATCTTGGACTCGATCTCGGGGCGGCGCATAATGTCCCAGAGGAAGCGCAGGCTGAAGCGGAAGTGGCGGAAGCCCTTGAGCAGACGGCGGTCGAGGAGGAAGGCCTCCTTCTCCGGGTCCGTGTCGACGCCGACGTCGTCGAGGATGTCCCTGCGGGCGCCGTGGAGGACGGGGACCTCGGCCTCGCGGCCGGCGAGGACCAGGGACCAGGCCTCGACGAGGGCCTGCATGCCGGCGGCGCCGAAGAGGACGTGGGAGAAGAGGAGGCCGACGAGGGTGGCGTCGTTGAAGGAGACGATGTGCAGGGCGATGCTCGGCTCGTCCGACGAGAGGAGGTCCTCGAGGGTGCGGGGGGCGCCCTCCCGCGCGCCGAGGGTGTAGAAGTTGACGACACCGGGCTGGACGGAGGGGACGGCGGTGGCCTTGGGCATGTACTTGGCCCACTTGTGTTCCGAGATGCTCATGTTGTGGACCTCGTGGGAGAAGCGGACGGCGGGGCGGGCCGGCGTGAACTTGTGCGGGACGTGGAGCTCGAGTTTGTTGTCTTTCTGAGCGGGGGCGACGGACTCGTGTTAGTTGGGGGGGATTTTTCTTTTTCCTTCTTCACAACAACAAGGGGAGGGAGAAACACTCACGGTCAAGCGCATGCGGCCTGCGAGCTTCCTCCAGTCGCCGATGTCCAGGAGCTTGGCGAGCGAGAGATGAAGCTTCTCGGCGTCGAGGACGTCGTCGAAGCGGAGGGTCCAGTTCAGGAGCATCTCACGGAAGGGCTTCGTATCGTCGAAGAAGTGGACGGGGTACACATCGTCGGTTGCCACCCTGGGCACCTGGATCTTCTTCGTGTTGGCGCCGACAAGAGAGCGCATGTAGTCCATGGTGGGCGGTTAGTTTAGAAATGTAAGAAAAATGAAAACCGAAACGAAGATGGGAAGGGGGGTATCTGGGGGGGGGGGGGGGGACGCCGTTTGCTGTTTGTGCTGCAATGAGCTCTTGGCGAGATCGAGACTTTGTCCGAGTCGCGGGCCAAAGCAACAACAGAAGTAGGGGAATCAATCCGGCCGTTTAACAGAAAATCTCAACTAGCTGGCATCGCTCATCGGGGAGGGAAGGGAGGGTTTCCAATGGCCGAAAAGTCGTTAGGATGCCGCCGGCTTATATGGCATAATAGAGGACGACATGATGTGGCCGAAATTGGGCCAAAGTTCAATGGTAGCCGTCTAAGCCTTTTTTTTTTACTCCTTATTTTTCTTCTTCATCCTTATCTGCCTTCTGCAGTGACAGAAGGGGGGTTTCCTGTAGGTTTGAAGCACGGTCTGAGCTGACGACAGAACCATGAACCAGCACTCCCCAATGAGTGGTTCATTGCGCTTAGCCTGCAGGACCGAGAAACATGCTTCGTCTAGAGAGCATGTGCGCTTTGTACACCCCCCAAAAGCCGAGCGAGATCGTGCCCCCTTGAAGTATAATAACTAACTACCACTGCGGAGTAGTACTACTTACTACCTACCTCTTTGCAGCCAGTCTTCAGCCTCAATCAAGGCTTAGCGGACACTGACATGACAGGGGGAGCCCCATCCCTTCCCAGGTTGGCGAGAGGAACCAACCAAAGCAGCCAGCATGCGGCAGATACTGGTCTTGGCTTGGCTGCGGAGTTTAAACTCATTTAGACCTTAATCCCTGTCTGTGGTTTGCGTCGCGCGTTACGAGATTGCGTTGAACGAAATGCAACTAAATCCCGGAACGCAGCGAGTTTGTTATCTCTTCGGAAGAGGACGAGGCGGGGCGGGGGAGAGAGAGGGGGGGGGAGAGAGAGAGAGAGAGAGTGAGAGAGAGAGAGAGAGAGAGAGTGGGGGAGGGGAGAGCAGCACTCGGAGCCGGCCGGCGAGTCGCGGCTTTTCCCCCGCAGTTACGTGAGATTCGAAGAAGCGGCATAAATAAGTAAATCGTCAGCTCGACCCCGAAGAAGAATACCAGAATAAAAAAGTGCTTTGCTGGTTGCCATCTTTTCCCTTTCCGCGAGAGGTGGCCGAATCCACAGACGAAAAAGAAAAGAAAAAACTCTCAGTGACAGCCGCACAAAGAGACAGGATGACAGTCCAGGCGTACAACCTTTGGGTCGGAGGTCAGGAGAAACCGGGACATGCAGAACAGTTCGTGACATCCACCCTCCCCCGCACCGATGGTTTGCAGGACGCTTAACTGTGCTCGTGCTTCATGCTTGACTTCTCACACACTGCACCAGGATTCCGGTCGAGGACCCCGCGACGGGTGAGGTCTTTGCCCAGTAAGTTGACAGCCCCCCCCTTCCCATCAACTCTCGGACCTCCCCCCGTCCGCCGTCCATTCTTGTTCGAGTGACATCTAACTGCTTCATGCAGCTGTCACGCAGCGTCCGCCCAGGATGTCGACGAGGCCGTCCGTCTCGCTCACGAGACCTTCAAGGCCGGGACGTGGTCCAAACTGCCCCGTCATGCTCGCGCCGACGTCCTCGACAAGACGGCGGAGCTGCTCACGGCGGAACTGGCCTCGCTGATCCCCCTCGAGGTGCGCCAGACCGGACGCGCCATACGCGAGATGCGCGCCCAGGTGCCCACCCTGGTCAAGTGGTTCAGGTACTACGCCGCACTGCTGCGCACCGAGGAGCGTGCCGTGCTGCCGACCGTGGGCAAGCTGCACAACTGGATCGATCGCGTCCCCCTGGGCGTCGTCGTGCAAATCACCCCCTTCAACCACCCGCTGCTCATCGCCGTCAAGAAGGTAGCCCCGGCCCTGGCCGCCGGTAACAGCGTCGTCGTGAAGCCCAGCGAGCTGACGCCCCTCACGACCCTGCTGCTGGGCGGCATCCTGAAGCGTGCGGGCGTGCCAGACGGCGCCTTCAGCGTCCTCCCGGGCTACGGTGCGACGACGGGCAGGTCCCTCGTCGAGCACCCGCTCGTCCGCAAGGTCGACGTCACGGGCGGCACAGCGGCGGGCAAGGCGATTGGGTCCATTGTCGGCGGCAACCTGGCGCGCTACACGGCGGAACTGGGTGGCAAGGCGCCGCTGGTGGTGTTTGGGCAGGCCGACTTGGACGTCGCCGTCAATGGCGTCGCATTCGGGTCCTTCATTGCCAGCGGCCAGACGTGCGTCGCCAGCACCAGGATCCTCGTACAGGACACGATCCTGCAGCCGGTGCTGGAGAAGCTCAGGGCCAAGGCCGAGTCCATCGCGCGGCGGATGGGGTCCCCGAGCAACAACGAGTCCATGATGGGACCCCTGGTCTCGGCGAAGCAGCTGCAAAACGTGGAGGCGCTCGTCAACGAGGCGCTCTCTGCAGAGGGCGCAGCCTTGACGGGCGGCCGTCGCATGTCTGGGACGAGCGGCCTCGACGGCACCGACTTCTCCAGGGGCTACTTCTTCGAGCCGACGGTGCTGGTGTCGAGTGCCGAGGGCGACATCCTCAAGACACGCATCTGGCGCGAGGAGGCGTTTGGGCCGGTCGTGGTGGTGGCGCCCTTCAGGACGGAGGCAGAGGCCATCGCGCTCGCCAACGACAGCGAATTCGGGCTGGGGGCGGGCATCTGGACTCGCGACGTGGCGCAGGCGTTTCGGGTGTCGGAGCAGATCGACGCGGGTATCGTGTGGGTGAACACGCACCATCGAAACGACCCCAGCAGTCCGTGGGGTGGCGCGAAGAGCGCGAGCGGCGTCGGCAGCGAGAACGGCATCGATGCGTACCACGCCTACACGACGACCAAGAGCACCATCATCAGCTACGCGAGCCCCGAGGAAGCTCTGGTGGCCGATGACTGGTTCCGCGAGGACGCCGGGGATGTGCGATACGGCTAGAGTTTTCTGACAACATCGCATCCATCGCATCCATTCATCCATTCATCCATTCATCTTGTCAATCCATCGACCACCCAAACCCAATGTCATATTGCTGGACTGCGAGAGAGAGAGAGAGAGAGAGAGACCGGTAGGGGAGAGACGGAAGCAAAAAGGTTAAGGAGGAAACAACGAATGGAAAATACGAGACGAAGATGATGCTGTTCTTCCCATGTTCGGGGATGAGTTGAACGGGTTTCACGCAGGGGGAAGAAAGGAACACTGTCAGTGCGTAACTGCATGTTTTGTTTTGTTTTGTTTGGTGTCATTCAACCCATCAATGAGGAAGGAGCATTCCGCATAAAGGAGCAGGTGCAGCAAACAAACCACTTACCCCCTGATTGATTTCGGATTGGTCAAAAATAAATAGTCAAATTGGAATGAATAAACGGTGAAAACCAAAAATGATGGATGGTACTACCTTTTGTTCGGGCTGAATTCCTACGCAAAAGTTTAGGTCCATCCAGGATTCGAACCTGGGCCTACGGAAGAGACTGAGTATGATCAGAATCCGACGTCCTAACCAACTAGACTAATAGACCAGTGCCTATTGGGTGCTGTGATAGCTGACCGGGATCTGCGTCTCATATCGCTTACTCATCCAACCGCCCGACCGGCTACCGACGATTGACTCCACGTCATGACTGGGTCCCACCACTGTCTGTGAGCTCACGAATTGATTGCCAGAGAAAGAGTGCGGAACAGCCGGGAGAGACAGACTCTGACTGATGAAATGGCATTTCTTAGAGTCGAGCCGCTTGCTTTCGAGAAAATGTGAGGTGCATGACTCTTTATGCTGAGCTGTCGATGGTTTTCATGCTGCCATCCGAGTCGTCTGTCTGCTCATGCGGCCGCCGCCATGTTCCCTCGACATGGGCAAGCTTTGTGAGCCTTTCTCCAACCGTCCTTCCATATGCCAGCGGCGATTGGTGGCTCTCTTGTCGAAAATCATCTCGTCCTGGAATGTCTGACCCGTTCGTCCCGGCTATGATTGAACGAAAAAAGAGGGGGAAAGGGAAAGGAGGACAGAAAGAGGAACATGGCACGAACGGCTCGACCGAAACGTCCCGCTGCTAGATCCGCCGCATGACATCATCCGAACGCCATCCAGCAATTGCATCGGCGAACGCAACAAGAAGAGCGCAACGGGTTGGCGGCTATGAGGTTGGGTAATAACGCATGCCAATGATATCAGACCGTCCAGAAGACGAGGAAACACCTGAGTGGACACGTGAACTCTTTTCTCTTTTTCGTTTTCTCTCTTCTTGCGTAGCTGTACTCTGTAGTAGTCATCGTCTATGTTTGAATAGCCAGTCTCGGAGGCTTCGAAAACATCGCTGGTCTGGACCAACTTCCCACGCGTGCTCTGATCCTGCTGAGACCCCGAACCGAGTGAACATCACCTCCACGCTCTCTCAGAGTCCGGCCCTTGTTCTGGAGCGTCAACACGCCTGCTGCAAGGTTCCCCAAAACATGTCGCGCCCGAAACAGCACATCATCTTCCTGACGGGGCCCACGGGGTCTGGCAAGACCACCATAGCAAAGTACCTCACAGAGTCCCTCCACATGACCTTTATCGAGGGCGACGATGTCTGTGCCCCCCATCCTCCTCCCCAACCAGCCAAACCCGCCAAGCACAACGCATGGACGCAATGGAACACTGACACCTCCCGCTACCCCTCCAGTACCACCCCAAAGAAAACGTGGAAAAGATGCACAGGGGCGAGGCCCTCACCGACGACGACCGCTGGGGCTGGCTCGACAGCCTCCGCGACGAGGCCCTCCACGAGCTGGAGGGCGACGGCGACGGCGACGGCGGCCTGCGGCGCGGCGTCGTCGTCGCCTGCTCCGCGCTGAAGCGGGCCTACCGCGACGTCCTGCGCGGCGCGTCCCACCCGGAGAAGGACATCTTTGTCAACTTCGTGACCCTCCACGCCCCGGAGCACGTGCTCTACGAGCGCGTCAAGAACAGGCACGGCCACTTTGCCGGCTCCAACCTCGTGCACAGCCAGTTCGAGAGCCTAGACCCGCCGCACGAGGACGAGCCCGACGTCGTCGGGGTCGACGTGCGGCCGCCGCTGGAGCAGGTGGAGAGGGACGCGCTGGAGAAGCTGGAGGGACTCCTGAGCAGGTAAGCTGGCTGTAGCTTGGTTCGACTCAGAGGGCTGTGCGGCTTCACATGAGCTGAAGTGATTGGGCGGAGGTGGCGCATTTGTTTGAATTTAGAGTTGGGTAATGCAATATGCTGCATAAAGAGCAGCACCTGTCCGACACTATGCATAACGGGATCTTGCTGCTCACTGGCGGATTTCGCCACACTCAATATTAAGATCGATGCTTGGAACCAGTTGTTCATGTTGAGTTTAGGCGTCCCCGGGATGTTAAAGCCGTTTAATGCTATATCGAAAAATACCGTATCCCACTCATCAGGGCCTTATAGCCACGCATGCGACGAGTGATTGGTCGGCTTCGCGTTCCGACATCTTGTAGACGTCCCTTATAGTGCAGTTTCTATCTGACGAGAAGCAGTTTAAGTTAAGCGTGTTGAGGAAAATGCAATATAGGGCTATCGAAGCGCGTCGATGCTATCATCTGTCCTGATCGCAGAGTCAGTGCATGAGTAAAGATGCTGTTATGGTTTGCCAGCTGTCCCCAGAAGTCTAGAGTGCGTAGTACTTACGGCAGGCCTCGTCCAACATCGAACACCCAAAGCGAAGGAAGCGTCGATTATCGGCGCATCGGGGACACTCATGCAGGACCCTGTTAGTCCCCTTGAGAGGCTATTGTGTAAGGACGCCCGCTACACATCGGACCAACCTTAAATCGATCTCTTCGACAGTGACTGTTCGATCCTGGATGGCTTCCAAGATTGGATCCAAAACTGCTATCGGGAATTTTACGGGGCTAGACCCGTTAGTCTGCCAACCCAATCCTTGGATCAGGGGTCACTGTCTTCATGGAAAGGGGGCTCTCGGGCGTAATATATGAATTCTCACCCAATGAATCCCGTCGTCGGCCACAGCAGCTTGCAGATCCTGTTAATTATCATCTTGTGATTCGAGCGGAGGATTTTGGTAGTGCCATTGCTCGTACACCAAATGGTCCGACTCATCCTCTATGAGGGAACTGAACCACTCGTCGTCGGCCGGCACCTCTTCTTGTTCATCCATCCGGTCGTTGTAACCGGCGTAAACGGCGTGGCTGCCCCAGACGTACCCGGCTTCGGGTCGAACCTCGTCCCATTGGAACGTAGGCGGTCCGGCGTTGCGGTATTCAACGCGCCTTCCGCTGATGGTTTCTGATACGTAAATCATAGTGCCATCGCTTATCGGGTAAGACTTGCCCGGAGTTTTGTTCCGGTGCAGAAATACCGTCTCGGTGAATGAGGTGGCCCCATCGAGTCGTCCGAAACAATCCACGCCACCGCCTCCGGAGACGTTACGACTGCCGGGTCGTTGGAAATCCGGCGCGCCGCTCCGCGTCCGTTGGTTCCATGGCGGCCCGAAATGTTCGTCGACGTCTCTTATCAGCTCTTGAACGGGTGCCAATGGCAAATGACCGGCGATGTTTCTCGCCAGTTCTTGCGAGGATGCCAATGGCAGATAGTGGTTGACATCTCTCGACCGTTCTTGGACGGGGATCAGTGGTAATATGCTCGCCCTTGCGAGCTGGGGGGCCGGCGTGCTTCCCAGCCGGGGCAGGTGGATGCCATCTCCAGAAATCGAAACGCGCGGTTCCGCAGGTGAGATGCCTGGCGGCGGGAACAAACGAAGCGGACGACGATTGGGCTCGGGGAGGACTGCTCGTTGCTGAGGAAGCTGGCCCGGCACAGGCAAGGCGACCTTGTTTCCAGGATGGTAATAATGATCGTAGACCCCAGGCTCGTTTCCTGTCGGGTGGTAGTAACCTACAGAGTCGTTTCTAGGCGGGTAGAAACCCGCAGGCTCGCCGTAGTATCCGTTCATGCCGAAAGGTTTCACGATATTTTCGCCAGCTAAAACATTTGATGTCTTTGTTCGTTGTTGGGAACATTCCAGCGAGTACTCACCTCGAAAACCAGAGGGAGGACGAGTAAAGACCAAAGGCAAGGGGGGGAAAGGGTCCATGGATCAGCAGATAAGCAGGTACACAGGGTCTATTTAAGAGCGAACGAGGAGATGGAACCCTTGAAATACTGCGAACCTAGATACATCTGAGAGATGAAAAGGTATGAGGGCCCTTGAATCAATCTGTAAAGGAAACTTGGGAATTATGCAGTTTATTGAGTGGATCTAATAGTTCTATGGCCCCAGGACGAACCATTGGTTTCTGAAGGTTTGTCCTCTTATCGTCACCTGGTTCCATACGAATGCTTCATACTTTGAGACACACTCTTTTATTTCTCAGTTCTTCTGGTTAACATGCGAGGCTAAGAAGGATATCAACATCCCTTTCTTTGGATTGACGCCATTGCTAGGCATTAAAAGGTGTGCACTCAAGGTCGAAATTACGCTCACAAGGTGGTCCATTTTTTGTGGTTCACGTAACCTATATGTCCTGAGATGTAGCCCTATATAAGTTTTGGTGATTGTTTCCAAGTTTGATTGCAACCTAATACTTTGCTCATCTGTAATCACGCTTCTTTTCCCTTACGATACCGACTCATCATCTCCGATCGTTTTATGACTCTAAATCTTTCCCATGAGATTCGCAAGCACTACAGCGCCAGTACTCGCCCTGGCCGCAACCGTCCTTGGTGCCACCAAGAGTATAGCTCCTCCCCCCATTGATTTCGACCCTCGAACTTCGCAAAAGTCTTCACAATGCTGGAGCGACATGATCCCAGAAGGCACCGACTGGTACATCATGGCTACTGTTCCGAAAAGAGACATGAATCAAGTCTGCCGAGACTTCATGGTCGACTTGATGACAAGGCAACATTGTCGGTTCATAGGCTCCAAAGATCCCATATGCAGAGTTATCAAGAACGGGATTGAGATCGAGGTGTCGACCTCTATATCTTGCAGGCGGGAGTGGTTTCTTGAAGCCTGGAAGGTTGCGACGGATAACAAATACGGTCGACTCCATTGCGGGGACATTGATAGATTTCTCGACCATGAACAGGATATGGAAGACACCAACGGGAACAAATGGCACGAGGGGCAGTTGATAACTTTGAAGGGCCCTGACGAGTATTAGGATGCGGCACAAAGGTGGAAATTGTGGCTTATATCACTTCGTGTCATAATGTCAGCCTATTAATTAATAGGAAAGCCTAATGTCGTGGTTGAATTGTTCACCTACGTCCGATGCGGGTGCCTAATAGATATTCTTCGAAGGTTATTTTCCATCAACAGTTGGCATGCAGCCGCAGAATCCGACAGCCTATGCCCCAAGTGATCATCTTCACAACCCAGGTGCCCCAGTCTGAAATGCACCCATGCCTTTTCCGCACTACCACACAGCGATTCGAGGTAGCCAAAATATTGCGCTTCCCCTATCTGTCAAGGCAACATTCATTGCTAGCGATAGCCCACTACATGGATTCTCAGCAACTTATGGC